ATTCCGTTCAAGCTGCAAACTGTCCTGGTTAAACCAGGTAGCGAGTTTGTCTGTGTAGTATTCCAATGCTATGGCGGCTCTATAAGGCATATCTAAAAATAGCTGGACCTACAGAGGTGGGACGGTGAGCCTGCGTTCACAGCTCTGTTGACTCCTATGAGAATGTCGAAGAAGGGCCGGAAAAAGAAACAGTGTTTTTAAGAAGCTGCATTCCGATCTATTTTAGCGTGACTGGGAGAGCAGTTTTTTGAATAGTTCTTAAGAGATAAATTTAGTGAGTTTTACTACTCGGTTAATTATAATTTTGTTCAGTTGTTTTAAATGTAATGTTTGTAGAAGGAATACGAAAAAGAACGCTCATTTGCCCCTGTATTTAAAATTGAACGCGAGACTTCGATCCCGTCAGACTCAGGAGAACACAGGGTAACAATAACAACTCTGGAAGTGGTACCAACAATTGTTTACAAAAGCATTCCTCAAAATGACCTTACTGTCTATGTGACCGCACTGGCTCGCAATGAGACATTATTTCCATTCCTGCCAGGAAATGCTTCCATATATTTCAACAACAACTTTGTATCAACGGTAAGTTTCATTGCCATTATAATTCTTTATCTTCAAATAACTGTCCGCAACGCGGAAGGTGGAGAAGACCGGGTGCATGGTTAAGCTTTTGAGGTAGTTGAGTTCTTTGACAACTAAGAGCACAGTTTCAGTATGCTATCATGTTAAGAACTACATTTTCTATGGCCGATGTTTTCTAAAATCACTCTGAAGTGGTATTACTAAAAGTCTGACCGATGTAACAGTCAGCGTACTGCAGTAAAAGACTTTTGATTGATACTTTGAATATATTATTTTTTCCTATACTCTATCTTTTTCAAATTCAAGTTTATTTAAAAATTAGTTTTCCGTAAGATTTTTTTACCACCTGCCATTGAGATAGTGTTTATCTTAGACTAATGTTATTGCAGACTTCTATTAAATAGAAATAAATCCTTTATAAAATATGTAAAGATTTTTTGAACACTTTAAGCCAGTAGCTAACAATGGCTCATTTACCCTTATAATTGCTGTATTCTCTTTTTCGGCGTACTGCGTCTCCGCAGCATATCGTGTGGTTGGACAGCAAACTGTTGCTCCATACGTACTCCAGTGTCAGTCATCCACTGGACAAGCAGTGTTCCATTTTACTTTCCTAAAAAATCTAGACAAAACAGGTGGTTTTCCAAAGGTGTTGATTTCTTGTGTGGGAACTTATACGCTTATTCGAAGCAGACCAGTTTGAGAAAGAGAGTACTGCGTTGAAAGCTCTGCAACTGCACCAGTATTTCGGAGATGTACAAATGATTTTTTAACCGCCATAGACTGGTGAATCGAGGTCAGGATACAACAGTGCGCACAGTTTTACTGGAAACCTCTATTGAAAGACTATGAAACGAAAGATATAAGTAGAATGAATGCTAAGTGTATGAGGATGGACCATCGTTGGGCTTTTCCAGCTTCACTTCATTCTTGTAATGCACCTTTATCCTACCTGAATATTGTTAATGAGTTTCTCTAGCATGATTCTCAACAACAATAAATAAGTGCATTCCAAATGTCGCTTTAAAAGTGTGGTCATATAATTCCATTGTTGTAGTGATCAACCAACTTCGTTAAAATTTTACATGATTACTGAGTATATATATTCCAGTCGTACATCAATCGTATCAATCCAGGAGGGGAATTTTCGTGCAACCTTGGAGTGGATCCTTCTGTAGTCATAACGTATGGATCACTAGAAAAAACTACTTCTGAGGTAACAAGCCTATAGCAACATTTGCTTGTGGTAATGACTTATGCAAACAGTCCTTGCATCTGTACTGTAAATGTACGGAGATAAGAATATGAAAACAGGTTCAAAGGACAGCAAAAGATCATGTTAGCTACACCAGCTCAGTATTTGAGTTCAGGTCGGTGCAATCGTAAAAGTTGCAAGAACAACAGCACAGCGGAAAATAAGCGTACGTAATCTCAAGCAAAAAGAAACAGTTCTTCTGATGCTGCAGGAACATTTGCCAAAGTCGTCTGAAGAGAGAATCCAGGTATTATGATATTTGTTTGAGAGTGTTCTTTAATTCTTTTTTCAGATTTACTGGTTTGTTTTTATTGACGACGAAAAATTCTTCCAATCATGCATACCGCGCAAGGGTTCTCTAATTGATTTAGCGCTGAGGGAGACTTTTCAGGTAAATCTGATTTCACCACAGTTATCAAGTCGAGAACAGAATAAAGAGGGCGCTTCTCCAGGAGCAATAATAAACGCAAAGAACAATCTTGAATGGACTTTGGTACTTCAACCGAACACTGTCAAAGATTTATTTTTTAGCTATGCAATAGACTATCCAATTGGTGAAAACCTTCGTTATTTTGTAGATAATTAACCGCTGTGAAGAACTTGGTTGCAACATGTAAAATGTGATAGAACTTTCAAGTAAAGACAAATCATGTCAATATAAACAACAGGAAGTGTATTTAATTTGCAAGATAGATCCGCTTTCGGTAGTAAATCTTATTCCGGCTGTCTGCCAGTTCTTTTCTGTATTGGATGGATTTGTCCTATTTAAATTTATGCAGTTATCTGCCGAGTTTTCCATCAACTCTTTTGGACAAGCCGAAGACCAGTATGCTGTGGGTGTATTAATATATGCTTATTCTGAGTCTTCTGAAAGCACTGAAAGTTTCCAGTGTTGGGATCTAATCTCTTGGCATTAGTTTATTCCACGTCCTCTCTTTTACTTAACCAGCTACTCCGTAGAAAGTATCGCTTCTTTTTTGAAATCCGTTATTACTAACCTCAATATTCCAGGCATGGTAGGCGACAAAGAAGTGATGTCTCAGCGAATAGTAGGTTCGGAGTTCTTTGCTATCTCCAACACAACTGAAATTTCAAAACAACATTCATCCATTGTTGAACTTGTTCTACAAAATAATCATTGTTGTAATCGACACTATTTCAGGCGCAACAGTAATAAAGGGGAAGATAGAGATGAATTGTAATGTGCCTTAAGGCTAGGTGTTGAGGTATGTTAAGGTCGACATACAAGGATTGTAGGTGCAGTGGATTGTGCATATCTAGGTGTCAGGGATTGGGAGCCGGCCGTG